CACTCTTGTGGGACACTCCTGTAGGACACTCTTGTGGGATACTCTTGTGGGACACTCTTGTGGGACACACTCTTGTGGGACACTGTTGCGGGACACTCATACGGGACACTCTTAAGGGACACTCTTGTGAGACACTCTTGCGGGACACTGTTGCGGGACACTCTTGTAGGACACTCTTGTGGGACACTCATTTGGGACAGTCTTGCGGGACACTCTTGTGGGACACTCTTGTGGGACACTCTTAAGGGACACTCTTGTGAGACACTCTTGCGGGACACTGTTGCGGGACACTCTTGTGGGACACTCCTGTGGGACACTCATTTGGGACACTCTTGCGGGACACTCTTGTGGGACACTCTTACAGGGCACTCTTGTAGGAAACCCTGGTGGGATACTCTTGTAGGACACTCTTGTGGGACACTCTTGTAGGACACTCTTGTAGGACACTCTTCTGGGACACTCTTGTAGGGCACTCTTGTGGGACACTCTTGTGGGACACTCTTATAGGACACTCTTGTGGGACACTCTTAACTCTTGTGAGACACTCTTGGGGGACATGGTTGCGGGACACTCTTGTGAGACACTCTTACGGGACACTCTTGTAGGACACTCTTGTGGGACACTCTTGTAGGACACTCTTGTGGGACACTCTTACGGGACACTCTTGTTGCACACTCTTGTAGGACACTCTTGTGGGTCACTCTTATGGGACACTCTTGTCGAACACTCTTGTGGGACACACGTGTGGGACACTCTTGTGGGACACTCATACGGGACACTCTTGTGGGACACTCTTGTAGGACACTCTTGTGGGACACTCTTGTGGGACATGCGGGACACTCTTGTGGGACACTCATACGGGACACTCTTGTGGGACACTCTTGTGGGACACTCTTGTAGGAGACTCTTGTGGGACACTCTTGTGGGTCACTCTTGTGGGACACTCTTGTAGGAAACTCTTGTGGGATACTTTGTAGGACACTCTTGTGGGACACTCTTGTAGGACCGTAGGACACTCTTGTGGGACACTCCTGTAGGGCACACTCCTCGTACGAGACTTCCTCCAAAAGTCACGCTGCGAGACTGCAAGACGAGCGTTTCGTACGAGACTTCCTCCAAAAGTCACGCGTCAAGTCTCAAAAACGAGCGTTTCGTACGAGACTTCCTCCAAAAATCACACGTCAAGTCTCCAAAACAAGAAAAACTCACATATCAAAGTCTGCAAAACGAACGTTTCGCACGAGACTTCCTCCAAGAGTCCAGCGGAAACATCCATCGGAGCACACAGATCACGCAGCCCTGCCAAGCAGTTTCGCGAGTCCAGCCCCTCCAAACGACACCCGCTCAAACGCCAATCCCAATGTGACAGCGACATTCACCTCTACCACAACTCACAACCTCCCGATTCCCTGCGCCTGCCACGACTCTTTCCGCGTCCACACGTCTAACGCGCACAAAGTACTGCGCCTGCCACGAAATGTCACCTCCGTCACACATCGCAACCTCACGATTCCCTGCGCCTGCCACGGAAATCCCACTTCCACACCTCAAAGCCTGCACAAAGTCCTGCGCCTGCCACGAAAAGTAACGATGTCATCTCATGTGAGCTTCAACAAAATTTGCACCACACCACACGTTTGGAATGATTTCGACCCGTTCTGAGCACACTCCCAGGGTCCAAAATCGGCATTTCAGCTGAGACTTGTCACGAAAACAGAGCTTCGATGCCACACCCTGAAACGCAAATCCCAATGGCACGGCCGCATCCAACACCCCAAAAACACGACTTTCCAAACGCTAATCCCAATGGAACTGCGTAGCAAACTGCGGATCTCACAAAACGCTGCGCCTGCGCAGTGAAACGCATCACGCTTCTTGCGCGACATATCCTTTTCACGCAAATCACAATGGACTCGTGTCGCAAACTAACACGTGACACATCCATGCATAGTCACTTGCAAAAGCTTCCCCCAATGGCAGCGCCTTAGCGACCTACTGCGGACGGTTGCGAACGGTTGCGAACATAGAAGCAACGGATCGCGAACAAGACTCTACCCCCAGACCCCCAGAGTTAAACGAGAACCCTTCGCTACGCATTCGGGAAGAAAAAACCGCCTGGCCCGGCACGTGGAACCTCCGCAAGTCCAACCTCAAACCTCGACCCTTGAAGGGCTGGTCGTGGGCGGGTTCGAAGCGGATCCGCGGTGGTCATTTCTTGGCTTCGATGCTCTCCACCACATTATCAGGCACCGCTTCGTACTTCTGGAACTCCATGCCTGGCAGGCCCGAGGTGGATGGGCTCTACGCGTCTCGCCTCCTCACCCCACATGGACCTGGACATGGCATGGATTCTGTGGTGTTTGGGCACCCCGAGGAACGGACTTTCCTCTACAAACCACTGGTTTTGATGGTCCATGTTAGTTTTCAGCCGAGTACCGCTTGAACTCTTGTGGGTTATATTGCTGGCTATACCTTCTTTGGGCCCTTTGGGGGTAGGAGCTCCTTCCAACGTATCGCAACATTGGTACGCTGTGATCATTTGATCTCGTTTGGCTCGTGTTGTCAATGAACGGGTCGTGGCAGTGATTTGTCAAAAACCAACTGGAAAATACAATGCCAACTGCCTTTACAATGTGAATACCATGAATACCCTTGTGACTACCCTTGTGTGGATCTGCGCTTCGACGTGATCCCTGAATGGCAACAAACCTTGGCATCCATCAAACACCTGCACGCACTTTCAATATTCCGACCAATTTTAACGAAAACTGTCTAATTCAATATCTATTCCTGCCTACAGCCTACAAGGATGTTATGTTCTATATGTTTTTATACGCAAACAAGTGCATCCCCTAGAATCTCCTGTATAGAATATTATGCTAAATGTAGAAAAGCAGCGAGCAGCATAACACACAACACATTCACAATCCCAAAGCCTGTGGGCCCGTAGGTGTTGAGACCCGTGTGTGGCTCAACCTGTGCCTGCCTGCCTATGTCATGCACAACCAGCAACGCAGATCTCGTTGCAGATCTTCAGCCAAATCTAATAAACTTGTCTGGTGAGTCTGGTGCTTCTTAATTTTGGGTCAGCCATGGAGATGGCGCAAAATGGATGCTATTGGAAGTTTGGAGCACCCTCCTCATGGTGTCAACGAAGTTCTGACACAGTCAGCCTTTATAGTCAGCTTGCTATAGCTTGGTCTACTCCTGGACACGTCACGGGAGCGGAAGCTATACCTCGCACTGCCTTCCATCAGCTGCCACGGTATCCCACTGAGTCTCGTCCCACACCGGTCGAGTCCACTCCGGGTGGTTCCGAGCGGCTGTAGTTGGCGCGGCCCTTGGAGATGTTGCGCAGCTCGGCGATGTAGCTGAACATCTCCTGCGAGCTCCGATGTGGGAAACCCTGAACGAATATGGCATATGGATACCCGCAAGATCGTCAGCTCCCTCCTGTGCAAGTCAGCTAGTCAGCTATACTGCAGCTATATAGGCTATGATGTGGGTGCCCTACCTGGCGAGTTTCGTGCGTCCGGTCGCTCTTGGCTTCGCGTTGCGAGTTGCGCGCGGCATCGGCAGCAGACGCTCCGCCAGGGGGACGCTGGCATTCACCACGTGGAGGTTGCTGCGGGTGCCCAGCTCATTCACGATGCCGCGTCTGCTGTTCAGGTCACCGATGATGTTGCCTCATTCCGAAGGTGTGCGGAGACGCGGTGCGACCCGGAGGCGAAGCTGGAAGCGAAGTCAACCGGTCTTGGTTAGGTGGTGCACCTACGATTTCCCCAATGCAGGTGGCCCTCCTTGGACCCTTGTCAACTGTGCATACCTTGTCAACTGTGCACCTTGGACCCCTTGGACAGTCACCACGGATATCTCAAGTGAGGATTTGGTAAGTTGGAACCAATCTGGAAACTGAGTTGGAGCCCCCCCGGTTTCCCTCAACCAAGCGCCGCTTGGTGGCACTTGTCCTGGCTGCCCAAGCGACCTTACTGTCCTGGGTCTCTAAGAAGCCCCCCTCACGAAGCTGCGACTTGGGAGGGGTTAGGCCGCGCCCCGCAACTATGGGGGGGCCTTCAACAACAGCCTCAGTCCTCCACCCACCGGCCACAGTCAGGTCCGATGGTGCGGACCTACCCGTCCCTGCCCGAGGGGCCCATGTACTCCTCAGGGGTGATGACCTCAACCTTCATGATGGGCTCCTGAGGCCGGGCGCTGTCCATCCCTTAAGCCCTTCGGAGCCCTTCGGTTTGGACGGGCCCAAACACGGGCAGACCCCGGTGCCCGGAGTTTCAAGGCTTATTTACGCACGCCTGACCAAGCATGAGAAAGCACGTTCCCAGTGAGAGGGATGGATGAGCAAAACCAACACAAGAAAAACACCGTCCAAACCAACACATGCAGGAAAGGATCCAACGCGCACATCAAATTTATTACATGTCTGTTTTCAAGTCAATTTTCTATTTTATAGATCATCTTCAATCAGGCACTAGTCCCTATCCGCCCGGCATGACTCGGCTAGGCTCCATATTCTGGAATGGCTCTATCCTATCCGACGGCTCATGGCCTAGGTCTTTGTGGATGTTTGGCATCTTCAGCTTTTGCATTGTGACTTGCGACTTCAGACTTGAATGGCATTTCCGCTAAGTCCTGTGTCCAAACGCGGGCAGGTACAACTATTCTGAACCCACGGAACTCCGAAGTAACCACCCTGTACCGCGCTCATCGGAGCACCCGTGCGGGTAGTAACCCAGCGGCCATGACGATGGGTTTGGCCTGGCTGGCACCCTCCTGGCACCGAGCTGCCACGAAGCGCCGTGCGGTTGGTGGAGTGCAGGAGATCAGGAGGGATGTAGACTCCAGAGGGTGCCAAATCTCCTGCAAAGGAGAACTATACATCCATCCATCCTAGGGTGCCAGCCATCCATCTACTTCTGGAGGGTGCCATGTGCTCAAGGAGTGGTGACATTTTGCAGGTGGATTTGTTCGAACGGCAAATGAGTTGGGGAATGGCTCATATAGCTCAAAATCAGGGAACGCATCGGAACGGCTTTTAACGGCTGCATGAGAATAGAAGTTATCAAGTTGATTCGAGTTGGCTACGATGAGGGAACAGGAGGGATGCATACTAGCAGCTAGCAGGTGGTTTAGGAATTCACCAGTATCACCAGTGATTTAGGTTCAGGTACCATCAGGTCCCTGAAAGATGGCAGCTCTGGCATGCCAGAACTTCTCTGCCATTGGCATGCACATGAGTCACATGAGTTGGGACGGGAGTCGCATCAGTTCACATCATTTTACCTTCTTAAAATCAAGTGTCCATTGGCCCGACATAGAGTGGTTTGGGCAAGTTCTGGAACATCAGCGGTGTGTCAGAACACAACTCCCGAACTGCTCCTTCCATTCCAGGACCCAACGTCGCCCCCTTTCAGGGGCTCCTGGATCGCCCCCCCCCCCCACACCACTAAGATCCACTAAGGGCACAACACAATGGCAGCTGTTGACGGTCTCACGCAGTCTCATGCATGTGCCGCGTTGTTTTTGTTTCTCTCTGGGTCACGCGGTCTAGACCGCGACCCGTGCGGAAAGCGTGCCTTGAAGCACGCCCGGGCAGCGATCTCGAAGGCAATGGAGGAGGAGTCCACGGGGTGGAACCCGCCGTCCTGGGAGGAGAAGTCCGACACCCAAATCCTCGACTAACATACCCCACGACCGGTCTGGGGGCTGCTGGACTGCCTTCAAAACGGCCTTTCCCGGGGTGGTGCTAGGGGGTGTCGACCTCTGGGGCGGCATATCTATGGCAGTCCCAGACAGGTCGTGTATGGGCATGCGGAGTTTCTAGGAGAATTCCATGCAGCGGATCGCAACGTCAGGCGGGCGGTTGCGAAGGCCTAATGGCCTAATGCCCGAAGGCCTAGCGCCCCATCTTGAAAGAGACGAATCGGATATGTGGAGGACATCCTGGAGGATGCTAGAAGAGAAGGGGATCTCCCAAGAACATATTATAGGGATCCAGTCGTGCCTCCTCAATAGGATCCTTAGAACATGTCATGAACATGTCTAACACTAGAACTCGTCTATATTGTGTCTACAGATCTAACATGAGATGCTAGATCGAGATGTTGGAGTTTGGATCAACGACCCTCCTCAGGTCTTTGGCTCCTCCAAACCCACCCAGCCCAGTCCCACCGAACCTCAGAAGGTACGACCAAAGGCCCAGGGCTAGGGTACACGTCCCACGTCCGGGTTCACTTCGCGCCTTCAACGTGGCTTTCACATCCACCACGGGGAAGCCCATGCGAATGCCATTCATCAGGGAGCCCTCGGTCCCTGATCGACATGGCTGAGGCGTTGGGTCTTTGGTGCATGGAATCCATCACCACTGGCAGCTCCAAGGATGGAGTGATGGTGACCCTCCTGACTGAGGGTGACTAAGGGTGTAGTCAACTCCCTGGAATTCGATAGATGTGGAAATATGACCCCGCAAGACTGCGTTCCTCTACTCACAGGCCTTTTTCCACTTCCATGTTTCTTTCAGGGAGGGGTTCCACTGTGACGTGAGTGGATCATGAGCCATGATACTAAATACTATACCGTGCACATCCATGCGCGCGAAAGAACTCTTTCAAAAGCGAAGAACTGGGACTTCGTAACACGAACAAATACAACCATCAAAACACCTCAAAACCATCACCATGATGAATTTGGAGGTATTTAATCTATTTCTACATATATACCTACATCATGAACATCCATACACCTCCAAGCACCAATCCTCTTCGCTCTGTCCGACGCACCAGACTCACCAGACTCGCCTTTCACCACACCAGGCACGTACTCCTTGGGGACGGATCCACCAATGACCTCGTTGGCGAACTCGAAGCCCTCTCCGGGGTTCGGCGTGTAGACCATGCCTCGGACCGGTTCAGGAGGCGTACGTACGTTCGTTGCGGTGAGCGGGGTCGAAGAAGAGAAAACTCCCCGGGTGGACAACGGTGTGGATGGATGGTTAGGCCGTTAGACCCGTGAAACCATCCAACAAGACCTGGAATGACCGCCGCTAATAGATCACATGTAGACGATCTCCACCAAACGTACTGGAAACCGTTCCATATTCTTTGGGGGGCTACACCTATATACATCGATGTTCAAAACCTGAACATCACCCCCAATGGATTGTCCACCGGTTTCTTCCGGTCCCGGCGACTGCTTCGGTCTCAGTCGTCCCATGCACGACGGTCTCGCAGGATGAACGAGGGCAGGGCAGGACCGAGGGCAAGGTGCCTCTAGGCGGTCAGGGAGGTGAGCTGATCGGCATTGGGAGATTGAAATGGACTCTGGATGCCATTTGGCCATGTCTGGAGAGGGACAGCCGGGACAGCAGGTTGAACACCAAATCCTGCCGGAATGGACTGATGCTTGTAATCGCCAGATATTTATTTGATATTTTAAAGTATTTTAAAGATCTACTAAAACAACCAGGGGAGCCGGCCATGAACAAACCCCCAAATCAGAATCGTACTCAAACTGGATACTGGTATGTGCCGCCGGATTCCCAGCCGTGGATTGTCAACAGGCACCCGGCACAACTGCAGAAACAAACCCAACACGCAAAGCAGGACATACCACCCATACACTCCATGGGACTGCCATGTATGCCTACATTGACCCCCCAAACCACCCCAACTGATTGGCATATGGCACACATGGAGTGTTGGGTAATATGGAATATATAACTATGATTGGAATACCAAGGCCCACAATGCCCACGGTCGGGGTGGTTAATGGACAGCCCTTAGCATCCAAGGGACTAGCATTGGACACCCCAAACAGGGTGTCCTGGGATAGTACATTCAGTTGGCGATCTCGAACTAAAAAGTAGTTGAGCCCCTGGCCCCTAGCTTTGGCTAAGTGCTTCGAAGTTTGCTTTGAGACGCGACGCTGGTGCTCGAGTCCTATAGCTTTTCTGACCACGCCTGGCCGCCCCCATTTCAAGCACTGCCAAGCAGCACAGCTTGGCGTACTGCCCGGAGCCGCCTAGCGGGGAGCCAGGCCGGTGGCCAGGGCTCTCAGAGGCCAAGGATGATTTCACAGTCAAAAAGGTAGGCATCGAACGTTCAGTCCAATCCCATGGAGTTTCTTGGTGAATTGCATCTCAGTAGGCAATGTCTGATCAGAAGTGGATATTCAGGAGTCTCAAGTGGGACGTTCCGCAACACTCAGGACTTGCTACGAAACACTGAGAGTGGCGCAAAAGCCCTTCGAAGGACGGGAGTATCTTCCAGCATGTTATACCTGGATCTTCCAACTCCCTAAGGATACCCTCTGAGGTTCGGTGGGACTGGGGTGGGTGCCAGGAGGGTCCAGTCGTACCTGTTGAGGAGGCACGACTGGATCCCTAGCGGCCCTAGCGACTATGCAGACTTTCTGCCTATATAAACACTCCTGTTCAGTACAATGCTGTTCTTCCAGGAGGAGGAGCTTTGGTTTGATTGCCTGGGTGGTGCTTTTGTCGATCGACAATCCCCACACCTCCAACAACATCCTCACAAGGCAAAGGCAACCCCCTCAAAACCACCTACCCCAACCCCGTTCCCCCTCCCAAACCACCGGAAACGCCCCAACCAAAACGCCCAAATCAACGAAACCCTATAGACCCTACGTAGTAGCGCTATAGCCGCTAGCGCGCCCCGAGCAAAAAACGGGGAGACACCTCCATCGCTTTTCTGTCTCGCCTGACTGCTTCTTGTGGGTGTACCACATCTCAATCGGCTCAGTGATGGTCTCACGATAGGCCACCTGCTCCGTCGTATCGGCGACTCCCGACTTGGTTCCGAACCCGGTGAAGACCCGAACGAATCGAACGCTCCGAAGGCACCGTGAGCCGGTGAAGACCCAGGGTCAGATGAGTGCGAAAAGGAACACAGAGCGAGGGGAGGGATGGGTTCTTTGGTTCTTTTTGGGCGCGCTGTTTCTCTCAGACTGGGTCGCCCATGCGCCCATCAAGAGTGGTTGACCAATACCGTGTCCTTTAGTCAAACTAGCATCGAGGGTGATAGTCAGCTTCTATCTTGTTAATTGCATTGAAGTTATACAAACACCCAGAAGATGTTCCTGCACAAATGTTTTTTCTGCTGTTCCTGGCTATTCCTCACCGGTATTAGGGGGTTGGGGAACTCCCTGGTCGCTCGTTGGCTCCCTGTGCAGAATATGGATACCGCTGCTTACCCCCCTCCTGAGCAGCAAGCCAAAGCCAAAGCGATTTCACACCTTCCAGGATCATCCTGTCTGGGTGTCCAATAGACTACCCTACCTAACTTACTTAGGTCTCCAAACAGGGCACCCAAACAGGAAGTGCTTGCGTCACCCATCTGTTCTGCCAGTCGCACGAACACCGAGACGTCCGGTCCCACCGGGGGTCCGGTCCCAACGACGAGCGAGCCGGGTCTCCCCAGGCAACGTTCCGCGGTCCATCCAAGTCCACCCGTCGTGTGACGAGGACGAGCATGGATCCAGCCAACAGCAAACATAGACCGCTTTGACAACACAATAGACCGGTCAACCAGAAGTACAATACTGGTGGGAATTAGGGACCGGGAACAAACACCATGCTTGATGCATCTCCCCTTATTAAGTTACAACGCATGGCAACATAAAATCAATAGGACTCCGTGGGCTCCTTCAAAGGGGAGGTTGACTTGGCCTTTGCCAGCTTAGGACTTATTGCCCAGGCTCCTTTTAAGCATTGACCATCGGGGGCATCAAATGAATGCATCCCAACTCTCGATGAACTCTGACATATGAATTTCCGGATGTCCACCTTAGACTAGAGTTCATCCAATTTCCGCATCTTCTCCGCCACAGATCGCCACGGTGCTTTCCATCCAAACCCACCGGTGCATGCCACCGTGATTCCGCGGCCCACCTCGCCCACGCCCGACGCCACGCGACTTCGGCACCCATGCGACTTCGGCACCTGCGGCTTGCCGACCTCGGCCTCGACTTTGAACTCGCGCTTCAGGCGATCGATGATGATCTCCAAATGCAGCTCACCTCGAGCTGCACGCAGTGGTGCGTGCGTGGTCAGCAGGTCGGTGACACGGGTTCATGGAGCCAATGGAGGTGGGTGGATGGCTCACCCGATTCGTAAGCAACATCGTCATCCAATTGGGTCCCATGCCATCCACTTGTGAGTGAGGCGGGGGTGAACCGATGCCAGAAGTCATCGGGCTTCCCAGTGTGTAGCTAGAAATGGTTGGAAGTTGGGACTGAGACCAAGGAAGTCGAGGGAAAGTCGCCAACCAAGGATGCATTGGATCCCACCAGTTGAGGAGTCACTGATTTCTCACAATAGCAGGGCAGCCCACCCAA